CGAACATCAGAAACATTTAATCGTTTATTACGTGATGATATTATTATAAATGCATTAAGTACATTTAGTATGGCATCAGGTATATTTAATAGTCGACAATTTAAATTAGGACCTTATCATAATCGTGGAAGAGTTCATGGTATGAGAAATTTTTTAAGTTTAGATTTAGATAAAAATCATACACAATTTAATATAACAAAAGAAAAAAAACAATTCATTAAACAAAGAATACAATATGTATGGAAACAAAAAAAAGCACAACAAAATACGTTTATTCCATTATGGTTAGAAAACTATTCATCGGATTATCCAGAAGAATTTATGTTAATTTAGACATTTTCTTTTCATTGTAATGACAGACCGATTCGAGCGATGACTTCATTCAGTGAAGAAGTTTAAGTTACATCACTAATGTTATTCTTTTCAAAGAGATATTCAATATGGAGTGATGTATATACAGATAGTTGTGGACATTACGTACGTTTAGTCGTTAGTAAAAAAGCGTTGCAACTTACTGATATTCATTTGTTATTTAATAAAACATCGCGGTTCGGTGCAGTCCGAACGTTTCCTATTCATTCTCTTCTCTCGATTACAATCTAATTTTTCGTTACACTAACTAAAGTGATCGTGAAGATCTTCACTAGAAACTCAATTGTAGAATGTCCATTATTTACTTTTGAAGAATAAATTCCACAAATACAACAAATTGTTTGATTTATTTTTCATGTTAGTCAATTAAATATTTAAAGTATAAAAACTGAGATTGTGAGTGTCAGTGTTAGTACAAAAAATTTAACAACTATATCGATGCCATCATACGTGTATCGGTTAACAAAAAAAACAAAGAAATCTAAAACAATGTGTCTATAAAATAAGTGATAAATTAAATTATTTATATTTTTAATGAACTTTATTTGTTATTAATGAAAAGTATTATTTATTAAAAATTATTTTGCCATAAAAAGCTGTTTCAGTCAAGATCAATAGCAAATTTTTGTATTCGGTAGTTGTATTTATCGACAACATAAAGATTACCATGTCGATCAAATGATAAATCATTTGGGTTGTCTAATTCCATCGGACCGTTTCCAGCGTATCCTTTACCAACGATTTTAGAACATTCCTTTGCATCTGGTGACCAACGCGTTACTTCATGAATTCCCGCACTCGACACATAAATATTACCCATATCATCAGCAGTCACGCCTATGAAGGCACCATATGTATTACAATTTCCTTCATAAGGTTGTCTTGAAGTAATAAAAATGCCTTCGAGTGCATTTTCTGTCCATTTCATCACACGATTGTTACCTGAATCTATTACGTAAACTGTATGATGTTTATCAACGAAAATATGTTCAGGATAATTAAGTTGATTTAATTTATCTCCTGCTTCCTTATCACCTGCTACAACTGTATATTCTTTATTTCCTTGCTGCCAACGTCTGATTTGATGTCTTTGCTTGTCAGAAACATAAAGATCTCCATCATTATTCATTGCTAAACTCCAGCAAACAATATCATTTATTAATACCTGGTGATCCTGACTATTTTCAAGAGACCATTTCATCACTCGCTGGTTGTCAGGGTCACAAACGATGAGGTATTTCTTCTCTTTATCAAGAATTAAATCCGTTGGAGTAGACAAGCTATATATTTCACTCCCAGGTTCATTTCTACTTGGAACAATTTCGCCAGTATGTGCACCAAATTTCCATTTAACAATACGATGATTGTTAGAGTCAGCAATATAAATACTTTCACTATCATCATCAATATAAATACCATAAGGATTATTTAACCGATTTAATTCACTTCCCTGTCCATTTCCCCCAGCAACAGTAACTGCATCCTGTTTCCATTTTGTATTTTTATCGATAATACCAGATGGAATTAATTCTTCTATAAAAACAATAAAAAACATTTCAATATTTTTTTCTTTTCTTTCGATCTAAAAATTATTTCTTAAAAATAAAACATATTTTGTTTTATTAATTATAATATTTTTGTGTCATTACATATAAATTACAAGAATGTAGATGTGGGTATCGATGAATGAGCTATGGATTCGATAGTATATTCTCATTCACATTTCAGTGAACCTTTTGAAATTATTCTATAGAAGGTGTGATGTATGACTTTCGATTATGTACGATTAAACTATTTTATGTCATAATTCGAATAAAATATCTAAGATTGAAAAAGAAAAACCAACTCTAACAATGATTTCTCCTTTATGAATTCTTTGAAATAAGAAACGAACTAGTTTTAACAAAATTATACCACTTGTTATTGTTGTTAACAATTCACTTGTTGTTATTGTTTCCATAGTTGATTCCTCTGTTGTTTCTGATGTTATTTCTGTTGTTATCTCTGTTGTCATCTCTGTTATTGTTGATGTTTTCTCTCTTTTCGTTCTGGTCAACAAAACAGTAGTTATTACAACAACTATGATTACAAAAATTAAAATAATGAGAAATATTATCCAAAGTAATTTTCGTCCTCGAAAATGTTCAAGTCTAGAATAATGCATTTTTTTATAATTTATTTTTTGTTTTCAATATATACATACAATCTTTGCAAACGTGTTGTATTAGAGTTAACTTCAACAGTCTAAAATATCAAAAAAGAAAATAATCTTATTTTCTTTTTATACAATACATTACTTCATCAACTCCAACTCTATTATTCATGTTCATAGTTGTTGTTCTATCTAAACTTGAATAGCTTCACAATCTAAAAGCAAGAAAAAAAAATTCTTTTTTTCTTCAAAGATCATTGATCAGTATTGATATAATTATAAAAGACATAAATTAACCCATTGAATATTCAATTTCATTAATTAATCAGTTTTAATCAAAATAAAACAATGTAAAACTAAAGTTTTGATATATTCTTACGTACGATGATAAAAAATAAGTTTAAAATATGATGTGTTTTTCTATTTCTTCTCGATTAAATAGAAATTGTTTTGCATGAGTTAAATAAAAACAAGTTTTATCTTAAATAA